GATAGATAGATTACACACGGAGAAATACGTGTGTGTGTGTGTTCCAGCATAATTCTGGAACTCCTTGAGCAATTTCAACCAAACTTGGTGCCCAGATGGACTTATTCTCTGGAGAAAGGTACTGTGGGGATAAGACACCCATAACACCCTTGGGCTGTGTGTTCTGTTAAGCTATAGCCTGTTGTGCTTTAAAATGGCTTCTACTGTACAGTGTAGTGGAATTGCCATGGTAATGGCTTCATAGTACTCCACAAGGGGCCTCCCTCTGGTTAAGGGGGAAATCCAACATTAGTGTATGTATGTATGTATGTATTTATGTATGTACATATGTACATATGCGCACGTACACACACACACGTGTGTGTGTGTGTATGGAGCTGTGTTTGAGTAAAAAGGAAAATAGTTTTTGAAAAGCATGCTGGATTGTATTGAAAAGAAATGCCATGCACAATAGGAAAGTAGACCATTTCAAGTTTCTAATTACAAAACTCAGTTGAGAATAACCCAGGTACAATACTACAGTATTCATAACATCCTATTATTTGTGAAAGCTATGACACTGAAGTGAAAGTAAGCAACAAACATAATGATTTAGAGTGCTGTTTAAAAAGAAAATGAAAATAATATCTTTCATTCAAGATCTGTAAATAATATAATAGAGGCAGTAAGGAGATAAACAACAAAAACCGAACTTCTTTTCAAGCCTGGAAATCCTTTTTCTTGTAACCCTGCATAATCCCAGGCAAAAATTAACTCATGGAATAATACAATTCATAGCATCCAAATTAAAATTGGCCAACGAATTAGCAGCTGCTAATTTGGAAATATTTGTATTGTCCACTCTTAACATTAATCCCAACATTAGAATGTAATGTGTAGAAATCTGATGCACAGTAGTAAAATCTTATCAGCAACAAAAAAAAAATGGAAAAAGTTATTGTTTTGCATTGTTGCATTACAATGCTACACATCATTACTTCCAATTTCAAATTCAGCATTCTAGATAAATCAAGCTGAAACAACTGAGCTACTGGCTGGTGTTATCAGTGGCATCCAGGTTGAAGCCAATCAATATGCTGCTAACTTTCTCCTTTTCCTGCCCCCATTGATGTGTTGTAGGCTAATATTGACAATGATTAGTTATTAGAGCTGAGTAGCATGCAGTGAACTAAATAATTAAGAAGTATGTTGTAGCTGCTACCTTGGCGAGAAGAAATTAAACAGAATGCAAACCTACTTTGACAATAATCCATCCCTCTGATTTCTTTTTGAAGGAATTTTAAATCAGGTACATTCATATTAGATGGATTTGATATTATGAATGATATTATATTCACATTATATGGTTCTGGGTTTTTTGTCATAATAGCTCTAGTGATTCTTCACTTTGTCGATCTCTGACCCAATCTCTATTGCCTTTCCCAAGCCAGAAGATGTCTGTAAACAGCTTTTGTCTGCTTCTGACAGCTTCTCATATAATTTAAAACTGATTTTTCCAGGGTTCAAAATTGTACACAGACACACATAATTTACCTTCCCAGGTAAATTATGAAATTTTTAGTGTTAACAAATCAACAGAATATCACTCCATTGCAGAGTATTCTAAAAGAAAGAAGAAAATACATACAGATTCAGATGTTATATCATGAAAGAATTTCAAGAACAAAGCAGTAAAGACAGGCCAGACTAAAACTTTATAATATTCCTCATTAACACATGTAATGTCCAAACTAGAACAATTGATGAGTTTAGCTCTGGAAAAGTGAGTCCGAAGCATACCATAGAGTAAAAACCATGCAGGAAAAGGTATCAGCTCAGCTTCTGGCAGGGTGGTTATCTTCAGAAGGCCTCTGGTCCTAGATAAAGAAAATTCACTTAGAAACATACATAGTCAAGCTCTATTATCAGAAAAGTGGGATACATCCTCAAAATAAATGTGCATATCTATTTCTCTGTCTCTTCATCCATCTATCTCTCTATCTCCATCCATCCATCCATCTATCTATCTATCTATCTATCTATCTATCTATCTATCTATCTATCTATCTATCTATCT